GAGGTGCAAATTGACTGCCACGAATAATGGAACTGTTTCTTCGCATGGGTTGAATACAGAGGGACGAAGAGATAGTGAGTTTGGCATTTCTAAACAGATGATAATTGCAGATTGTGCTGTTAAGAAATTATCTGAAGGGGTTACAGTCTGTGTGGGCAGAGATTTGCATTTTCAGTTGTCCAATGAGGAGGCAATAGCTTTGATCAAAGAGCTTCGATTAAATGTAGCCCTGAAAGGTCTTAATACAGGGGTTGACGAGACTGATTCTGGTAGCTTCGCTGGAATGGGCCCTTTTGTTACAGACACTGATTCTTTAAATGAGAATGACAGGGAGGTGGATGAGGAGATGCCTGATGATTTGGGTTCTATCCAATAGGTTTGCTCCAATGAGCTTACACCTTGGGCGGAGAATAGTTCTGAAATCCTACAGGAGGTACCATTGGCTACGGTGCGACCGGATAAACATATTGCTGATATGGGGAAAGATTGGGTAGTTGACAATATTGGAGTAACTAGTGAGCTTTTGGGATTCTCTTCAGAAGGTAATGACGTTCAGACATTATCTATCCTTCAAGCAATTGTAGAAGGGAGAGAGGTTGCAGTTACCAATGAGGTTATGAACATGAAGCCTTTATCGTCTTGGAAAGGAGTACAGGAGATAAAGAATCTCATCTCTGAAGTCAACTACGAAGGGAAAGGAGGAGTGGCGAAGGAAAGGGGAAGAACCAGGAGCAGGAGTCTCAGGAAGGGTGGGGGGGAGATTATTTTATCCGGTTTACAATGAAGCTACGAATTATCTCATGGAATGTTCGCGGTCTCAATGATCCGAACAAGAGAAGGGTAGTGAAGGTAGCTTTAAGGAAGTGGGGTGCCCAGCTTGTTTGCTTACAAGAAACCAAGTTGGCATCCATTTCTGATAGGGTGGTTAAGAGCTTGTGGGGAGGAAGGTTTGTGGAATTGGCATTATATATGTATATATATATATATATATATATAGTATCAAATGGACATTATAATGTGTATGCTTAGTTTTATATACACGAATATAACAGAGCTACATATAGCACTTCCCCTTCCCCAGCAACAATGTGGACGAATGTATGGATTACATTATAATGTGTATGCTTAGTTTTATATACACGAATTGGCATTATATAAGTTTGTAAATTTGAAAAGACAAGTTTGTAACTGTTTATAGTGGTTAAGAGCTTGTGGGGAGGAAGGTTTTGGAAGGGTAGTGCCCAGCGTGTTTGCTTTGGATGCTATAGGTTCCTCGGGTGGGATCCTAGTCATGTGGGATAGTAGATGGTTAACTCGAACGGAGGTCTGGATGGGGAGATTTTCTGCATCCTGTGTGTTTAAGTTGGAAGAGGACAACTTCAAATGGGTTTTTACTGGTGTCTATGGCCCGGTTGTTGATGATGAGCGACCTATCTTTTGGGAGGAGCTTCGCCATGTCCAAGGATTGTGGTCTCTCCCTTGGTGTTTGGGAGGAGATTTCAATGCTGTTAGATCCCCGTCAGAGAGGTCTACAGGGGGTAGAAGATCCCTAGATATGGACCAATTTTCTGATTTTATTGATGAGCATCTTCTTATTGATCTACCAATGGAAGGTGCAGCCTTTCCTTGGTCAAATGGTAGGGATCCAATCACTCTTTCAAGGCTGGACAGATTTTTAATTTCAGGGGATTGGGAAGAGAAATTCCCGGATGTTGTTCAGGCAGTGTTAGCGAGGATTACCTCTGATCATGTTCCTTTGGTCTTAGATTGTGATGGTTTATGTTCTCAAAGATCCCCATTTAGATTTGAGAATATGTGGCTGCGAGCGGAAGATTTCCAAGGGAAAGTCAGATCTTGGTGGGAGGAAGTTACTGCTTCGGGATCGCCCAGCTTTATAATCACAAAGAAGTTGAGGGCTCTCAAATTTGCTCTTAAGCAGTGGAACAAGGATGTCTTTGGGAATCTGGAATGGAGAAAGAATAGAGTTCTTGCTGATTTTTCTGAGATTGATCGTCTTGAAGAGGCAGGAGGGGATGTGGAATTTTTACGTTCCAGGACAGTCTCTTGTCAGGCGGATTTCGCTGAGATTGCAAGTATGGAGGAGATCTCGTGGTGACAAAAATCTCGGGCTATTTGGCTAAAGGAAGGTGATTGGAACACAAAATGCTTCCACCGGCTTGCTAATGCTCATAGGAGGAGTAACCATATAGGAAGAATTCGGGTGGATGGCGAGGAGTTGTGGAGAGAGGAAGAGGTGCATAATGGTATTGCCTCCTTTTATCAGAAGCTTTACACCGAGCCTTTAGTTTGGAGGCCCAAACTTGATTGTCTTCATTTTGAGGCTATCTCTGAGCTTGAAAGAGATAGGATTGAGAATCATTTCACTGAAGAGGAAGTTCTTAAGGCTTTATCAAGTTGTAATGGGGACAAAGCTCCGGGACCTGATGGCTTTACCATGCGATTTTTGATGGAAAGTTGGGCAGTTGTAAGAAATGAGGTAATGAGTACTTTTTAGGAGTTTCATTCTTTTGGCGTCTTTGAGAAGTCGCTTAATGCTTCTTTCATTGCCCTTATCCCAAAGAAGGGAGGCGCTTCAGATATAAAGGATTTCCGTCCAATCAGTTTGATGGGTTGTATTTACAAACTTATTGCTAAGGTGCTTGCTTTAAGGATGAGGGAAGTTATGGATGGGATCATCTCGGAGATCATCTCGGATTCCCAGAATGCCTTTGTTGGCGGTAGGCAAATTCTTGATTTAGTTCTTATTGCTGGCGAATGTGTAGATTCCAGATTGCGGAGTGGTATTCCTGGAGTTTTATGCAAACTTGACATTGAGAAAGCATATGATCATGTGAATTGGAATTTCCTACTCTATTTGTTACAAAGAATGGGGTTTGGAAGTAAATGGAGGAAGTGGATTGAGACTTGTCTTTCGTCTGTCAAGTTTTCAGTTCTTGTGAATGGTTCTCCCGCTGGTTTCTTTGGTTGCTCTCGGGGTATAAGACAAGGTAACCCTTTGTCATCTTTCCTTTTTCTTGTTGTTATGGAGGGCTTAAGCAGACTTATGTTCAATGCAGAAGACCTTGGTTTTATAAAAGGTTTCAGGGTGGGCAGAGATTTAGACCATCAGATGGAGATTTCTCATTTACTCTTTGCTGATGATACCCTGGTTTTATGTGATGCTGATGTGTCTCAACTTCGATACTTGAGGTGTATCTTGACTTGCTTTCAAGCAGTTTCCGGGCTTAAGGTCAATGTGGCTAAGAGTGAGCTTGTCCTAGTAGGGAATGTTCAGGACATTTCCTCTTTAGCTGCAGTCCTTGGATGCAGAGTGAGTTCTTTCCCTATTCCTTATTTGGGCTTACCCCTAGGGGTTTCTGCAAGGTTAAGGGGGAGTTGGGATTCCGTGATTGATAGGTATGCGAAGAGATTGGCAGGTTGGAAGAAACAATACTTGTCAAAGGGGGGTAAAGTTACTCTTATCAAAAGTACGTTATCGAGCCTTCCCACTTATTTTCTATGTTTCAAATTCCTTGTTCCGTTGCAGATAGGATTGAAAAAATTCAAAGGGATTTCCTATGGGGAGGAAAGGGCGATTAATTCAAGTACCACCTTGTCAAATGGGAGGAAGTTTGTAAACCTGTGAAATTGGGTGGACTTGGAATAAGACGTTTAGTTCCTTTCAATCAAGCTCTCTTGGGTAAATGGTTATGGAGATATGGGAGGGAAAGACATCGTCCATGGCCAAGGCTAGTATCTTGTCGGTTTGGGGACGAGGCTGGAGGTTGGTCTACATGTCCAGTTACCCTCGCGGGAGGAGTCGGGATGTAGAAAGCTATTCGGAAGGGATGGGATGCTTTTTCTGCCCATATTAGATTCAAACTCCGTGATGGTCGTCGTATTCGGTTTTGGGATGATCTGTGGTGTGGGGATCAGCCACTTTCTCGTACATTTCCTAGATTATTCAGTATTGCTGTTGATAAACACGCCTACGTAGTTGATTGTTATCGGCTTGATAGCAGTGGGATTACGTGGGATGTGCATTTTCGGCGGTCTCTTCAGTACTGGGAGATGGACGAGGTATGTGTTTTTCTGGATCTCTTGTATCGGTAGGAGGGCGTTGGTAGAGATAATGATGTTTTGATTTGGGTTCCTTCTTCCCACGGTCGTTTTGAAGTTAGATCCTTGTTCTTATGTTTGTCTAATTTTGTTAATCGAGAATTCCCATGAAAAACCATTTGGCGGTCTATGGCTCCAACTAGAGTGGCTTTCTTTGTTTGGACTGCTATGAGGGGAAAGATTTTGACAGTTGATAACTTGAGAAAAAGGGTAATTATATTGTTAATCGGTGTTGTCTATGCAAGGATACTGAAGAGTCTGTTGATCACCTCCTTTTGCATTGCCCTCTAGCGACCGATTGTTGGAATCTTATTGTTGGGTTGTTTGGCATGTGTTGGGTTATGCCACAATCTACTAAGGAATTAATTCATGTTTGGAGAGGATGTCGGGTGAGAAGAGATGTCCGCGATTTCTGGAGAATTGTACCTCATTGTGTATTGTGGTGCATCTGGAAGGAGAGAAATAGCAGAATGTTCGAAGGGAAAGAGTCGCTTACGGCAATGGTCAAACTTTACATTCTTCGCTCTCTTTTCAATTATGTGAAGAGAAGTTTTTGTTCTTCTGATGATTTAATTACTTTCTTGGATTCGTTGGGGCCTTAGTCCTGGTCCCACTCTTGTAATTGGGACACGTTCCCCTTTTGAACGCCTTTTCTTATATTATTTTTACTTATCAAAAAAAAAAAAGATAAGCAAATAATTTTGGACTCATGGTATATTAACATACATCAATGAATAAAAAAATGCATATATATAACATATAATTCCACAACGATTATGTCCAAAATAAATTTGAAGACTGGAAAACAAAAAATAGATAAATTACATATTTCTAATTTGCTAGATAGTTGGATGCCAGAAATGCCAGAAAAGTAGTCTTACTTGTTCAAGTGTGTGTTGAGCAAGATCAGTTGTTGATATCATCACTCCAGCAGCAAATGATCCCAGTTCTAAACTTAGACCCAGCTTATCACTACACTGAAACCATACAGACAAATTGAAGAGTAGTACCACTTAGCATGCATTACGAAGAAACATGAACATGCAAAGACACAACTCGTTCAACTTATTTCACAAATCTCATCAAGATGCACCACTCCATATAACATTGCAACAAAATGCTCAAGGCCCTACTGATAGTCTGCTGCAAGGAACAGACTAAAGCAGTAGAGAATGCTCTATACCATCCAATTTCTATTGCATTAAGAACACAATATCTCCCTTTAACCATTCTTTTAACACATCCCCCCGAAATAAATTTATTTTTCAATTTTTAATGGTCCCTGCCTATGGTAGTAACACCTAGTCCTTCTAACGTAAACAAAAATTTTGTAAGTACATATAATTGATGTTCATTTACTATTTACTAAGTAAACAGAGAAAATCATTACACAAATTTTGGTGCAAAGGCCAAAAGAAAATAAATTTTAACTTGATGGGAAAATCTTCTGATCAGCTGAGATACACATGCTTTTAATATTGTCTCGCTGGGGTACCCAACGTCATGTTTGTAATGCAGTAAATCAAATATCACAATTGAGCTCCAGACAATGACTCAGCATTTCAATGGCGTACATGCTTCAAAGGATGACCCACCAAAAAGCATGGAAAAAAATGTTGCACTAATAAAGTTTCTTTTTTATTAATAAGAAACAAAAGACTAGAAAAAAACTAGGAGGGAGTGAGAGAGGGGGGTGTAGCTCTGTTATATTCGTGTATATAAAATGAAATCTAATGTAAATTTGTAACTTGTAAGAATGTCAAGCCAACAAGACAAGAGATCGGGAGAAGCTAAGCATTGAGAAGAATAACAAACCCAAGCTACGAGAAGGCAAAATGCGACTGCTGCCAATTGATAGAGCTCATTGGTCTGCACAAGTACAATTCTGATAAAATAAACATATCAAAGCAAATCTTTCACAATGCATGCACACAAAATGTGTGTGCACGAGTGTGTGTGTGTGTGTGTGAGAGAGAGAGAAAGAGGGTGAGAGAGATCAGCAGTATTAGTGCAAAATATCCTTCATTAGCAGTTACATCTTTTGATAGCAGAAATGCATACCTGTGATGACAGACTTATCATCAATTTCAAGAACCAAGGCACACAAGTGCGAGATAATATTGTTAAAACAACCAAAAATGTAATCAACGTCACCAACCTGGTTAATAGAATAATTAGCACGTTGTAACAGACAAATAGCTCCAATATTCATCTATGAATAAAGAAACACAAAATTATCCTACAACTAAAACACTAAAACTTTTAAGTCACATAAATACAATTTTTCAACTATAGCCACTTCTAACAAGAATAAACGAGAAAAAAATATCAAGACAATATAATTCTTCAGGTTCGTTGCTTAGCTTATATGTGAAATAAATGAAACATTATTCCCAGTTGTATACATTAACATGACACCTATATTTGTAGACCGGCCTTCAATCCTTCATTTTGTTCACTACATACTCATTTGGCACGTGCTTGCTTTGACACCATTAGTAAAGGTCAGTTTTTGTTGTAATTAATTCAAGTCCCTTCATCATTATTTGACAAAATTTCTGCTATCATTGGCTTGATCTCCTCATGACAATGAAATATTTGCATCAATATTTTTCAAAAAAAATTGGCTAATACCAGCTACCCAAGCAGCCGACCATGAAACCAGGCAGTAGCTTGACAGAACCTCATCAACTGAGCATTTGTTGAGAGTTTGAATCTAAATTCCTATGATAGACTGGTCAATAAAATCCAGCATTTTGAGCCTTACCCTCCAGCAGTAGCGAGTTTTAAAATAATATTTTGTTGATCGTTCCATTGTCATCTGGCAAAGCCTGATATGAAACATACCAGATTAGTTCATTTTGATTACCTCATCCTTCCTCCAGAATTTTGCACTTGTTTTGTGTTGGGAGATTTACCGACATTAGCCTGCCAGCGATTGCAATACACTGCTTATAATATTTGTGGTCAATTCTGCATTTTCTTTTATTTACAGCTCTTATTCGCACCATTTGGGTGTATTTGAAGTTTCAGGATTTTAAGTCCAATGCCATACTTCACAATAGAAGAGTTCTTTCCAAGCCTGATTCACTTGCTTTTCAATGATATACACCAGCAGTGCTATTTAGGAAATGAAATATGACAGAGTAGAATAGGACCAACCATGATATTAGGTCTTTAAGTGTATGTAGATCGTTTGATTCAGTAATGTGATTTAAATAGGATTGGAATTCTTGTTATGTCAGCTCCTAATCCTCCATTTCTTCAAGCGTTGTTTCACCTCAGCAAATGATGTTGGATTCTTGGGACAGCTCACCTCATTTATAATCTTCCTCAAACAACTCATCCTTGAGATGGAACTAAAAGCATTTGCAAAGGAGAATAAATGGGGAGGACAATGTGCCTCGTACAACAGATTTAAATCTTAGAAGATAAAGCCATTAGCGATCTTAGTGCTCGTTGCTCAGCTTAATGCAAGCCTCACATGCCTTCAAATATGGTTCTAAAGTTAAGTGTTTACAAGCAAACAATCAACATTATACATCCACAATGCATACAAAAATGATCATCCAACATTATACGATAAGTGAATTGAATGCATGCTTTTTCAATGCAGATGTAAAATTCCAAACGTACGATTTAGCCAGGGATATTACTCCTTGTAGAACACCTGAATTTCCACCCAGAACTGGAAGCAGAGCAAAAAGCAACCCAACGGCACAGTCCTAGTAAGCAAACATAACTCAGACCCAATACTCATAGATTTTTCCTTGTAATGAAAAGAACAGATGTCTATTGGGAAAAAAAAATAATGTTGATAGCATAAATGCCAAAAAGACAATGATACAACAATTCCATATAGAGGGTTACAGAAGGGTTTAACATATCACAGCCATTATTTAACATAATTATAGAAGATACAAATAAAGACCATTATATTGAACATGTTAAATTTCACTACTTTACAGTGCTCTAACAATATGTGACACAGCATTATCCATTATGCCTCTTGACAATTTTGGATCGCGAATCACAAGACGCGGCATTTTTGCCACTTTTGGCCACTTCTTTTTCTTATAATACACAAGATCAATCTTAGATCATAAATCAAGAGCTCGGGACATTTCGTTCAACTGATAAGTTTCAATGTTTTTTTTATATATATATATTCATTTACGTTATTCTGTTGTTATTTGACTTTAGATATAGATCGTGAGTGTATTTTGTTCCAATCTACAAATCCACAGCCTTTTTTTCAATTTTCCATCAAAATATATTTTTTTCATAAAAAAGCTACTTTTGTTACTTATTTATATATTTGTAATTGATACTTGTAATTGGTAAATTATAAGTCTCTGTTACTTTTTATTATGCTCGGTAATAACTAAATGAAGTATAAATTAGATCCTATGATGCACGGATACGGGATACGGATATGACACAACACTCATACAACAATACAACAAATCTCCAAAAAGCAGGATATGGGTACGGCAAGATATGGCATAAAATAATAATATATTATAGCTTTATATATATATATATATAAATTATTAGTTTTCCATAACATTATGAATGTAAATGCAATCCTCAATGTGTTCATAAATAAAGAGGCAATTAGATAAAAACACAAGAGAAAACCCCTAACCCTAGAACTTAAATGACCCAAATTAATTCTTCCCTTAGTAGGCACCTAATCTCTCTCTCTCTCTCTCTCTCCTTCTCCTTTTTGTTGACGAGCGCGGATTAGCGATTTGTGCTATTAGGTCCTTCTATTTTATTTTCTTTTAAACAATGAACTTTTACAATTAGACCCTCATTTTTTATAAAATAAATATTTACAATTTTGCACAACCATGTCCCAGAAGTATCATGTTGTATCCTAGAAGTATTATGTCGTATCATAGCCATATCTGAATAATTCTCAGCCACATCAGGCACATATCTTCGGAACGTATCTGGCGTCCAATACGTGCTTCCTAAATTAGATCACAAATTACTTAATATTTGATATGTAATTATGCATTTGTCAATTTAAGACCTACTAAATTCATTGTAAAATTTATTATCTTAATTAAATAAATCATCTTGATAAATTCAACAAGCTCGTCAAAAAAAATAAAAACTAAATTTATGAGACTATGTGACCAAATATACATATCGACATATTGTGTTGCAGTGGGACTGCCAAAAAATAAATCAGAAATGTAAGTTGCATCCTATGTCCGCATTACAGCATTCATTACCATTATCTAAAAACTTGCACCAGTGAGTTGTAGCTCAATTGGTACAAGTGATAGGAATTTGTAAGAGTTGTCTTGAATTCAAATCTACATAATTATTTTATGGTGTGCTTTACAATAAAACAATGGAAGGAAGGAACTACATACCTGCAAAATAAGTGTGCCGATGGTAACTTGGCCATGAAGGGCATTTGTACTGTTCTTTTCCATCAAAAATTTCAATACCTATGGCCCAAGGAATGTGAATATAGAAGCCATGAGCATTTTAGAACCAGGCTATGTAAGAAGATTGTAGTTCTAGAGACAGCCACAAGAATACTTACCACTGCTGTTGAAGACATTGAGAGAAACACACCAACAAAAATCCCCTCTGAAGGTTCACCACCACATAACTGCAAACAGCACCCAGTTGCATACATAAGAACTGCAGAACTAAAAAGGGGAAATATTGTACGACACATTCAATTTTTTGCGAAGCAAACAGGGAGCTAAGGTTACCATTGAAATAACAGGCTTACAGAATCTACGCATTATGAGCATCATCAACATAAATGGATTTAAAATTTCAAAAAGAAAAACATAAATGAATTTCAAAAACAAAAGTTTTTAGGTAGCACAAGGCATAAAAATGAAAGTTAGAAGGGTCATATTATTTGTCACTAAAAATGTTACTTATGAACTATTACGCAATTGAGGTGCATGATGCCATTGTATGGTAATACAATGGTAGAGTTATTAGCATTGTATACTAAAAATGTAGTAATCAGCATGGTAATACAAAGGTAGAGTAACCAGTTTACTAAAAATGTTAAGAGTAATAAGCATCATGCAACCTGTATGTACACACTTGATCGTCAAGTTAATTATATGCCTCAATGTGCAGCCCCGAATAGAGGCTAGTCTTCTGACTTTTAACATGCATTAGCAACCACAACATGAACTAATATGAAAGCGTGTTAGATTCTGTAAACATACCGAGGCTGTAATTCCACAAAGACACATAAATAGGAATATTTGAAGCACGCCTCCCAGAATAGCAACTGCTCGAACAACTCGAAGCTATAATTACAAATGTATGAACCATAAGTCATAATTTCTTTCCCTTTTTGTTTTCATAAGTAACAATATCTGAATAGCAATTTAAATTTACTAAAATATGACACAAGCATAAGAGCATGAGCCAACCTTTGTTGTAGAGAACTCCAACCCCAAAGCAAAAAGAAGAAAAATTACACCAAACTGGGCCACTGTCTCAACCTATATGCAAAACACAGTGAGCAATGTAAGCAACATGATAAGTTATATGTTTCAAAAAAAATTGTCAAACTGCATTGTGTAAATTAAATCTTAGTCAAAATGTACACTGCAACAATACACCAGAATATAAACCTTGCAAATCATTAGTAAAATTGGTGGAGAGTTTTCTTTACGTATTCTCAAATCATAACAAATCGTATTGTTAGAGAAATATATCTTCAGTTGCAAATAGGATGTCAATCAGCAAATGATGGAATACTATAATTTGTACACGGATGCCCTCAATCAATATTCAATAGTACCATTTTCTATTTTAACATTACAATACGAAGTCATGTTGAACACACAAATACTTTATTTTTTCATGTTGCATCTGCAAATAAAAAGTGACAGACCGTGGCTAGGCTTCAGCCAAACCCTAAAAGAAGATTCAAATTGAAACAATAATCTGTTTGATGAGTATCATCCTGCAGCATACAGTATATGAAGTGATTATTTGAGAAGACAATTGTGCTTAATGTAACAGCAACATATAATTTAGTAATGAATAGTTTTATTCATCAGGAAATAATAATAATAACAATAATAATAATAATAATAAGGATGAGGATAGCGAATAGGTTATAGCTTTGTAAAGACAATCAACATACTTGCACCATTTCACTGACAAAGCTAAACCCACCCGGTCCAACAACAGATCCAGCTAGCAAGTATCCAGTTATAACCTGAGAAATTTCAAAATGAATAACAAGAAAGCTTAAAAATTTGGTAAGGGAAACATTATGATCTAGATTGAACAGTTGCATGTAAACTAAGCTGACAATAATGAGCATACCGGTTGTCCAGCACAAGCAAAGGCAATGCCACCACAAGTTGCAGAGACAATGACAATTACCAGATCTGATATCAATCTACAAGACCAACAATTTGAATAGTCTGGATCAGTAAGTGTAAAGTATTTGATTGTCACAAAATATTTTCCATAAATATCACAATCAAAATAATAAGCTTACCTCAAGTCTAACTGTAGCACTGGATACTTTGATTTGAAATTAGATATTATAAAGACATTGTCCTGAAAATACAACAGAAGCATCATGCATTTGCAGTTTTAATGGCATAAATCAACTATATGACTTCCTATTATCCAACATTACCTTTCTATCTATCAATGTTGGGGTATCTTCTGCTCCGTTGTCATTATCCAAATTGAATACGTGATGAAGTTGAAAGGACCTAAAAGAAATGTCTAAATGATGTAAGAGGAGCACAACTTTTCCAAAGGGAAATCAAAATCAGGACATAAGTGAATGCTCATTAGTCTGAACAAAATAATATTAAGCACCAATAACATTCCAGTAATCATTTGATAGAAGCATGTACTTTTCCTCTTTAGTATCGTTCTTCTTGGACTTGACTCTAGCTACTGTTTCCAAAGTGGCCTGATGAACAAAAACACATAAACAAAATAAATTCACCGAAAGCATCAAGCAAGATATTGATTCTCAATGGAATTAGACAAGGGAAGAAAAACACAAAATTTAGCACAAGGAAAAATTTTACTTAGTTATAGAAACCTTGAAACATAAAATTGTATTAACTGATTCCATGAAGGAGAAGTGCACTGTAATTGCACAGCTGAGATACGCCGTCAATGTGAGTCTACCTCATTACAGCCCATGCTAGTTTCTTAGGATAAGAATGCATATTAGTTATGAGTTTGATAGAAACCACCCACATTTTAAGTCTGTGCTTTCATCCTGAAAATTTTCATTTCAAATTGTTATACTTTCTTGAAACCGATTAAGAATCAACCAAAAATGGACTTTTCCTCTTCCTGACACCATACCTAAATCCTAGAATTACAGTGTGTTCTCCCCACTTGCAAATATATTAACTAGCTTGTTGAGAAATACAATGTTCTGGAGGTTCAGTAAAGGCAGACCCACCAACCTGCTGTTCGTTTACACTGTTGTTGAAGCTGCCGGGATCATTTACTGCCAATATAACACAATCCAAAAGGTCAGGAGCATGCATTAATTCTTCAAACTTCTTTTTTGACCCGTAAGCCTACAAATAAGCTTAAAGCTCAAGACTACAAAAATGCAAATGCTACTGTCAAATTCTCGAGAAAAATTATCATGCCCCTAAAACTGAACTAAACTATAGTAAAAAATAGCAGTCAAGAAAGGTGATACAACGAAAAGCGGTTTTATCCTAAATACAGAACACAAATCATCATTGATGGTTTGTAGCGAAATTATTGCGAAACAAAGCCAAATATGCCTTTGGTACTTAAGTAGTTAAGGTTTGGAACCCTTGCAACTATTAATAGAAAGGCATTTTGCTTGCTACCAAATTATTCCCCTTTCTTTTAAATTAAAGAAGGGAAAGCAGAGAGCAGTCTTATATAATAGAAAAGCAACATCATATAATAAGTTCCTCAATAGTATTGCTATTCTAGCCAAAGAATGGGTCCCACTTCAGACCATCAAAGGCCTTTGATGCTTTCGGTTTCCTGCATCGGTTGGTCTCTTTGGCCTTAAAGTCATTTCCCATTTCTCAATGTGAAAAAGTCACTGATTTTGTTTTTTACAAGTGGAAATCAGTGAAATATTCCCATCTTGAAACTCTAACACAATCTCATGATCATGTCTAGAGACTGGAAGTTCAAAATAAATCATATATATGTAAAAAACTTTGGCAAGGTAAAAATTTGGAGCTTTTTCCATTTGCTAGTTAAATTGAATATGCTAATTAGGGTGAGTTCACTTTCTAATGTTATTCGCATGAAAAAAGTCTTCCAATTTTCATTTCCGTACTGCTCTGGATAACTAAACAGAGCACAATTCAAAACCCTAATTCAACAAAATAATCACATGCAAATCCCAGAGCATAGAAGTGAAAACTAAAAGATCAGATCTAAGAACCTTCGTTCTGATCACTTTCAGTGAACTCTTTCTCCAGAGCTCGATCAATCATGCCTGCAAAGCTGTCCTCTCTCGCTTTAGAACGGTTGACATTGTTCGATTCAGTCGCATTGATAACATCGAACTGATCTGATTCCGTGGTGACGAGAAGAGAGAAAGAGAGAGAAGGAATCAGAACTAGAGAGAGAAACGCGAAAGCGAGTATGGAGAAGGAGGAGGGATGGAGCTCGAGGGACGATCTCCTCCTCCTCATTGCAGAAGGAGACCGGCACACGATACGCAGACCGGCGCAGGTTAAGCAATGTCTGATATAGAAACTAGCGATGTTGTCTTGGTTGTGTGGCACTTGCCACAAGGCCCACAACCAGTGATATAGAGAGAAAGTAGAGAGAGAAAGTGACAGTTGGTGTAGAGAGAGAAGTGAGAAACGGAGACTGTGAGTAAATGTAGAGTAACCACGGTTTAGGATAACCAGAGAAACAGGAGACTCAGAGAGTGATTTTTTTATTTAAACTACACTTTCACCCTCTTAACTTTTTTAATTCAATTCGTCACCCTATATATTGAAAAATAATACTAATAAATAAATAAAAATAAAAATTTGCCTCCCTATAAGAAAATCAACCAGTGCACCTTAAGTGTTACAAATGGGACTTATCCCATATTGGATTCACATAGGAATTGTAATGTGTAGGTATGGGTTCTGTGTTAGCTCTATCTAGTTGTTTAAGTTTTTAAGTTGAATCACGAAACATCTGACTCGTTATAATTGGTATCAATCAAATCTAATCCTTGATCCGGCGTCACGCTAAGTGCCTAGCCTGGAGGCTTTCGGATCTTCACTCCAGATAGACAGGGTGGCCCGACCGCAATGAGGGCAAGTCACATCGATCCGGATGAAAATTGTAATAGGTATATATGGATTGGATGTTAGCTCTACCCAATAACTTAAATTTTTTGGTAGAATCGCGAAATACCTTACCTACTACATTAAGGATAGGCCTATCTACGGATCGACCAAATTCATATTTGGTTTAGATAACACATGTCTAATAGTGCATAATATAACCATGTAACCAAATGAATATAGTGATATATAATTAATATATATATATATATATATATATATATATATAAATTTAATAGTATATAACTGATATGTATAACATTCATATAGTATATTATAATGTAATAAATATAGTCTTATAATTTAATCTGATTGGATAACTGTTGGATCATATTTTCTATAATTCATTTTCAATTTGTTACGGTATCCAACAGGCCTGTGGCCTAGCAGTACAAGACTCCTACTTCCCAAAGGGAGGTCAGGAGTTCAAACCTCAGTGGAGGTAGTGTGTGTGAGTCCAACTAGGAAAAAAAAATTTGGGATTTCATCCAAGGACAATCTAGAGGTTTTGATGATAACAAATCATTAATGGTGTTTAAGGACTAATGTTTACATTGAGTGTTATAAATTATTCATATTCAAATGATAACCTCAATGAAGATTATAAAGTCAATTCCAAGTATTCCATTACTCAAGATCATATCTATGAAAAGCAAATAAGACAAAAGGAATATGAAGTTGTAAGGAACCAAATGTAAAGTCCATCCAAATATAGCTTGGACTATAATAAGTAAGAAAGCAACTCAAAGAAAGAAAGATAGCAAGTCTACCTGAAAGCCTACACGATCATAGACAAAGCATGAAGAAAGAGGTACATAGGATGGTAAATGTTTAGGATTCAATGTAAAAGTATTTATGAATCCATTTGAAACTCATCTCTATAGGATCATGCATATCATATCATCATTCATATGTTCCTATATATATTAGCAATAGACTATGCACTTCATTTATATATAATTGCACATGAGTCATTGCTAAAGAGTGAGTTAGTTTAAGCTTGCATAAGCTTTGAAATAACTCATCACTTGTGCTAGAAATGCTAAGATCATGCACATTAATCATATAATTCATACTGGTCAACAATTAAGGCATGAGAAGCCTTCATTACCATGAGTTGGTAACGGACATTAGGACCCCAGAATACGCGTTATGAAAAATTGTGTTTTTGGCTAAATGTGAAAAATAGATTTTTGAAATAATGATTATTTTAAAATAAATTTTCCCAGTAATAACTCTTTATACTTTAACTAGTCTAAAATAATTTTATCAGAATTTTTAACCAAGTCTACATTGGTCTACATAAGGATTCATTTTTACCAAAACTGTTGGAAATCTAAATTTATACTAAAACTGAATTTCTACATTTTGATTTAGTTGGATTTTAATTTTCTAGTATTTTTTATTGAATCCAAATGAGGGGTACTTCCTTATTTACATTGTAAACTTAAAGTAAATGGACATATAAATACTGTAAAGACATTTACAGTGTGTCCTATACACGAACTGTCGCATTTGTTAATTTAGAACAAAATTTCCTGATGCAGAGTTTCATTTCGGTAGGCAAATCATTTCGGGCGACCGAAATAAAGGAGCAAATGAATCGGACGAATCGATTATAACAAAGAGTTTTGGATCAAAGGACGAAGGTATTTCGGACGACCGAAATAAAAGGGTAAATCATTTCGGTCTACCGAAATAAAGAGTGATAGCCAACCTTAAACTATTTCGGTCGACCGAACCTGCGCAGATTCAAATCTGAACGGCTATTTTGCCTTGAACCGCATGCACAACAGCTCTATTTTATAATTAGCTGCAGAAACTCTATAAATAGAGTAAGGTGACTTCGAGATTTAATGTTGCTACAATTGAGAGACATCTTCTAGCATCATAAGAGTTTTTGTTCTTCATTCATATCATACTCTCTCATCCCATATCATTCATAGAGTATTGAGCTTCAATTTATTCATCTATACGCTAGTTGTGAGCTAAAATTTGCATATCAATCTTTGAGAGATATATTTGTATGCAACAAAACTGATCTTCAATTTGTAAGAGCTGGTGTGGCCCAAGGAAAAAGAAGCAAGCTAGCTTTATATTTGTAAGGGTTGGTGTAACTCAAAGGAAGACTAAGAAAGGTTATTTCTTAGCAAGGAGTTACTTCTAATTAATGTTTGTTCTCCACCCATAAGGAGGTGCCTTAGTGGATTGGGAAGTCTCAAGAGGAGTCTTGAGCCGAGGAATAGGAGTTTCCGAACCTCGCTAAAATCATCGTGTGAATGTTTGCAATCTCTCTTCCCTTATCTCCTTTACATTTATGCTACTAATTGTTTATGTCAATATCTTGATCATTGCATAATTGTTAGAATGTGTTAAGTACAATTTGCAAATCCGAAAATTGACCATTGTTTGCCATAGACTCTATTCACACCCCCATAGACTTTATTCACCCCCCCTCTAGAGTCAATACTTGGGCAACACACAATATTTTCCAAGTGCACCAAATGATGGCCCTATCATGCTCTTACATTGCATGGTTAAATTGCCAAAAACACCAGCATCATTGAATTTAGGTATTTAATGCGAAAGGCAAACCAATGGTTGGATTGTTTACCATTGTCATTGAGAGCCGACTTTGAATTTTCACAATTCTAACTTTTAATATAACATTTTTATTCTAAAAAAATAAAAATAAGTATGTAACACCATACACACCCACCTCACTCCTCAACATATATATTGTATCTTTGTTTTGTCCCAAAAATCAAAATTTAATTATTTATACGGAGCGACCCGGAACGGAGCCAATGCATGTGGGGGCACATGCCCCCGATCCCGCCCTTCCCTTACATGTGTGTGTGTGTGTGTGTATTGTTTTTTTTAATCATATGTATGAGAAATTTTATATTGTGCCTCCTAAAATTTTTATTTACTAAAATTATATCTTATTTCTTTTTTTCCCCTACTTTTAATATTCAAATTACTATAATTTCCTTTTTTTAGAAAATTTATATTCATATTTCCCCTTTCGTCAATTAAATCCTTTTTTTATTTCTCTTCAAAGTTCTCTTAGAGTGTTTTTTTCCTCTTCTTCAATTTCTTCTTTTTGTAGTTATATATGATGCATGTAACTTTTTTTTTGTTTTTTCCTCTCCTTAATTACATTTATTGTTGTAATTTTATGAACTAAATGTGTTTAATTTCATGCATCGATTTCAAAATAAAACTATATTTATCATGTTATTTGATTTTTTTTTTAATCTACGCCCCTTAAATTAAATCATAGCACCGCCCCCTATCACGGACCTATGTATTGGTCAGTGAGGGTGGCTACCCTGACATTCTCTTTAATTATATTATGTGCATAAAATTTCATTAAAATTGTAACAATGTCAATATGTCATACTGAAATTTTGGTAAAACAATATATACGATGGTTGCTCCCACTAAATTTTTATTTATTTATATAACATATCTAAATTTCTTTAATATGTTATCTTGATAATAATTAAAATATAAGTAATTACCTAAAATAATAATAAAAATGGAAGTATGAGCTATTTTTTATATTAAAATATCAATTAATGTTAAAGTTATTCTTGTTTATTACGGTATTTGAATTTTTTATTTCATTTTATTGTGTTTAAAGACGTCTCCTCTAAAAAAAAGAAAGAAATTATGGGTACATTGCTAATTTATATAGTGTTGCGTTAGGTGTGCAGGAATGAAATGGAATGCAAGTGGGAATGAAATGGAATGGATTCTCGTTCTATTGTTTGGTTGTAAATATGAAATGTGTAGGAATGGAATGAAAATAACCATTTTTGTGTTTGGTTGGACTAATTTAAAATTTAGAATGGAATAAATTTCAAATTGAATTCTCCAAAATATCTGTAATACCCCTAATTTTCAAAATGATATAATTGAAATTTAATTTTTATTTCTTGTGCATTTTTAATTGATTATGTGGCTATGAGTGTATTTGATTAATTGGTTATTTGAAATACGTGATTTACTTGTGTGTTTTAGTTGATTGATAGTGTGAGAATTGCTTGTTTAATTATGTGAAATTTCTTGTAACTTATTTGTTAGTTGTAAATGATTAATTGTTTAATTTTAATTTTAAGTTTAATTTAAAAAGGAGTTGAATTTGGATAGTAGTAGTGGACCAAATAAATGGGTCTCGTGGATTACTTGGATGGACCTACATGGGTAGGGGTTATGACCATGGGTATTGGAGGTTATGATTATTATGATTTTAATTAATAATGATAAGTAGGATTCAGTTATATATATATTTTTATAAATATATATAATTATATTTTATTTATTAATGGTTATATTTATATGTAAATACGTAATATTACAGGATAGTATTAGTGTTACTATATAGTAGTATTATTTATTTTATTTTATTTCTGTTATTTATTTTCCTTTTTATTTTTATATTACGTGGTTTTTATTCTTAAGTTAGCAGACTTAGGGTTAAACTATGATTAGGGTTTTATATTGTATGTATATATATACAATAGT